GACTCAGGTCGTAGAGAACAACAAAAGAAATCTGCTGTAAGCAAACAAACCCAGGCAGGATGAAGGCCATGAAAACCTGCAAGACAGAGTACACAAAAAAACATATTTTCCAGCAACCTGACAAAAACACGTCTGTGGGACTGAGAGCATAATCAAAGCTGAGCATGAAAAGGGCTGTGAGGAAGGCAGAGCAGAGGCAGGCAGGAGCAAACCCAGGGAGAGCAGAGCAGAGCAGGGAACAGGAACACGGCGATCGCCCGCGCTCAGAGCTCAGGCCACAGACACTGCCTGTGCCCACAGGGGCTCTGGGTGAGCCTCCCTCTGCCATCCCTGACAGCTGAGATGGATTCACAGCACAGAGCACATCTGCAGCTCCAGTCAGAGCCAGGGCAGTACAAGGCGTTGGGAGGAGAGCAGGGGGTGCCTGTCCTTCCCCCTGCTGCAGCCACACTGGGACTGGAGTCCTTCAAGTGAATTTATTCCTTGAATGAGCCAAAATAACAGGAATGCCGAGGCTGAAAGCACTGGAGTGAGTTCAAAGGACAGCGTTTCCACTGGGAAATAAATCTCTCACCATTTTGTATAATTAGACAAGGAAAACGAAAAACTATTTCAGAAAGAATTCCCAGAAGCAATATCCAAGGAGGAGGTGAGAGGTGTGCTGGGCAGGAATGTGGGGCTGGGCTCTGCTGCCAGTGTCACAGGAACACGGGTGGCATCTCCAGCAGCAGGGCTGGAGGAGCTCCAGGACCACCGACAGGTGTGCCAGGACCACCAACAGGTGTGCCAGCAGGGACACTGACAGGTGTGCCAGCAGGGACACTGACAGGTGTGCCACCAGGACCACCGACAGGTGTGCCAGCAGGGACACTGACAGGTGTGCCAGCAGGGACACTGACAGGTGTGCCAGGACCACTGACAGGTGTGCCACCAGGACCACCGACAGGTGTGCCAGCAGGGACACTGACAGGTGTGCCAGGACCACCGACAGGTGTGCCAGCAGGGACACTGACAGGTGTGCCAGGACCACTGACAGGTGTGCCAGGACCACTGACAGGTGTGCCACCAGGACCACCGACAGGTGTGCCAGCAGGGACACTGACAGATGTGCCAGGACCACTGACAGGTGTGCCAGGACCACCGACAGGTGTGCCAGCAGGGACACTGACAGGTGTGCCACCAGGAGCACTGGGGCAGGGGCAGGGCACAGGGAGCTCCAGAGGCACATCCACAGTGACACCCAGCCCGTGTGGAGGAGCCAGCAGCCCCGAGAGGACACACTGCAGGAGGGGGAGGCAGAGAACAGAGCAGGGACACGGGAGGGACAGAGGAGGGACACGGGAGGTTTGGGGCTGTGAGTTTGGGGACACAGCCGGGAGGTGAGCGCTGTTCCCACTCCGAGCGGCCCCTCAGCCCCTGGGTGCGGGCTGGGGTCACATCGCTGCCCGGGGGTGCGGGTGCGGTGTCACCCCGGGCACAGGTGCCGAGAGTGGCCGGTCTCAGCCGCCATCTAGTGGGGAGCAGCCACGGCTCCGGCACCGCTGGGGGAAAAGCCCTCCCAGCCCATCATCCCCACCCTGTGCCCAGCCCGGAGCCCCGAGTGCCACCTCCAGCCCTTCCTTGGGCACTCCAGGGATGGGGATCCAACCCTCCCTGGGCAGTTCCAGTGCCTGAGCCCCCTTTCCATGGGGAAATTCCTGCTGTGCCCACCCTGAGCCTGCCCTGAGCCCCCTTTCCATGGGGAAATTCCTGCTGTGCCCACCCTGAGCCTGCCCTGAGCCCCTTTCCCTGGGGAAATTCCTGCTGTGCCCACCCTGAGCCTGCCCTGAGCCCCCTTTCCATGGGGAAATTCCTGCTGTGCCCACCCTGAGCCTGCCCTGAGCCCCCTTTCCATGGGGAAATTCCTGCTGTGCCCACCCTGAGCTGCCCTGGCCCAGCCTGAGGCCGTTCCCTCTGCTCCTGTCCCTGTTCCTGGAGCACAGCCCAACACCCCCGGCTGTCCCCTCCTGTCATGAGCTGTGCAGAGCCACAAGGGCCCCCTGAGCCTCCTCTTCCTCCTCCTCACTCATTCACCACAAGCTTACCTAAACGTTTACCTTGTTCCTTGCCACAAGACACAGCCTAATTTGTGCCCCTCCTAAACCCACAGCCCAGCACAGCCACCATCAGCCAACACAGCTTTTATTCCTGACTCAGGTTCCAAGGAAGCTTCAGAATCGCCCTGGCCTCCACCACATACATTTGCAAACTGCATCAGCAGAGGAGAAAATCCATAAGAAACTGATCCTGAGTACCTCAACAAAACCAAACACCGCTGCTCCGTCATGGAGTTAGCAGTTTCTCCTGTTTCCAGCCTCTGCAACATGGAAGAAAACCCAAAGTCAACACGGGGGCTTTATCCAAATGAATAACAAGTGGTAAGAGTTAACGGCGTGATGAGGGCTGTCTGGAGCTGCTCTGACTGGGAGACACAGCGTAAATCTTCTCAAGTTGTGACAAATGTCTTGGCTAATGCAGCCACATTCTATGTTTAAATCTCACTAAGATGTAATTTGACATTTGGGTTTACTTTTTTCATTATAATTAAGAAACAAACTCCAGTCCGCGCTAATCTCTGCACAGGCTGAATTTGCTCATGGAATTACCATCCCCACCGTGCCAATCCTTCCCCACACTCCGCAGTCAAATCAAAGGAAAACCAGACATTCTTTCCAGTAGGGTTCTGGTTACAGAAGTACAGTCAAAGCACAGGATGGATATTTCTAGGAGTCCAAAGGTCAAACCCTCATCTCTTGCTCAAGGAAATCCCTGTGGAATAGGTAACACGAAGATAACGCGCTGCACCCCGGTGTTGTAAGATAAGAACCCAAACAGAACAGCCCACAGCTGCATTTTTGATGGATGGAGGAGGATAGCTGAGGACAGGGAGCTGCCTCATGTGTCAACACACTCCACCTTCAGCAGCAAAGTGTGTCCTGGATCCCTTTCCATGCAGGCAGCATTCCCATCGCTCCCACTCCACACCTGCAAGGGCAGTGCAAGCAATGAAGTGCCACAAGGAATGGCACTAATGCACAGCCACAGCCCTGACACCGTGCTGGGTGAGCCAGCTGCCCTCAGCTCAGCCGATGGGCACGATAGGGGAGAGCAGCAGCACGCAGGCGGCACCACCACCTGCCTGGCTTGGAAGGAGCTCTCATGACCAGATTGTGGAACAGGATAATCCAGACAGCCCTGTCCTGGTTGCTCCACAGAACCTTTGGTATGCACAGCTCTTTGCAAGCAGCCAGGATGCGTGTCTGCACCTCTGCAGAGCGGCTCTGCTCCTGTGCTGCCCCTGGCACCACCAGCAGCTCACACACAGCTGGGTGACCGCTTTCCTGCGGCTCCCGTGGCAGCTGAGTGGCTTTGCCGTCCCTGCCACAGCAGCTCCCAGCAGGGGTGGGCAGTGGGAGGCAGGGGAGCAGGCTGGAGGAGCACAAAACTCCATTCAGATGAGGAGCAGCAGTGCCCATTTGGTTTCTGAGGAAATGGTGCCACCAGAATCAAGGCAGAGGGTTGTTTAGGAGGGATCAAGACAGCTGGCACCTGCAGCTGGAGAGGGTTGTGCCACTATAGCTGCTCCAGGGCTCCAGAGCCAAGGGTGAGGCTGGGCCCCTTTTCAAGAGGTGACAGAAAAGGGAGCAGAGGCTGTCACAGAACCAGAGAATCATGGAATGGTTTAAATTGGAAGGGCCCTTAAACCTCATCCAGTCCTACCCTCTCTGCCCTGTTCAACCTGGATCTGGACCAGGGATGGGGCAACCACAGCTTCTCTGGGCGGGTGTAAATTGGAGCAAGAGAGGTTCAGCCTTGGGGTCAGGAGGCCAGGGCAGCAGCTGGGCTGGAGCCCAGGCAGGCTGTGCCCTCTCCTCCCTCGGATGCTCTCAGCCCCCACCCGAGCAACCTGCTCTGAGCAGGAGCTGGACCAGAAACCTCCTGAGCTCCCGTCCTACCTGAATTACCTGATGGATCTACAGCTCCAGGCTGGGACCTGGCTGCAATCCACCGCGCAATCCCTTCCCTGAAATGCAGGGCAGCACCTCCCACACGCAGCCTCCTGCTCTCCCAGCTGCTGCACGTTCCAAAAGCCAGTGCCTGACCAGGTCCAGCACTCAGAACAGCCTCGTGTGCCCATGCCTCACCTGGCTCCAATCAACATTTCTCCTGACAAACAAGAACCTTTCCATGAATCTGGGGAGGTCTGCTCAAACCTGCTCAAATAGCCCAGGCTGCTCTGGCTCTCCACATGGCTTCTCTCCATATCCCAAAACACTGTTGGCCACAGGCACAGAGGCCACAGACTGTCCTGGCTGCTCAGCAGTGCTGTAAATGCACAGGAGAGTCACCCCACAAAGCTGGGACGTGCCACACCGTGACCCCAGCACCCCCTGAGGGACCTGCTCAGAGCCAGCCAACGCTCCTCAAGCTGGCAGTGAGGCTTGCAAATGCATTCCAAAATAAAAACTAACAACAGTGAGCTTTCTGCAAACCTCCAGAATCCCTTCCAGAGGTGAGGAAGCCTTTGGCACAGCAGGAGCAGACACGGGGAACGGGGGCCGCGCTCCTCCGCTCACACGAAAGCTCCGATCCTCCAGCAGCCCCAGGAACGGCTGCCAAGGAGCCGCGGGACTCCAAAAGCCCTGCACATCTACAACGCACTTTCTTCCACTGCTCTTTTTGCCATGTTTTCCTTTCAGCACGGCAGAGCAGCATGTTTGTGCTGGCCAAGCCTACCCTCCTCCTCTCCACCGCACCTCCAAGCAATCCAAGCACGGGAGATACAGTATTACCTCAAATATTTAACCAAGGGATTAAAGGATTCTCTTGGCAGGAGGCAGAGGCTGCCCCACGGTTACAGCTCCCCGCGTGGCTGGCAGGCTCTGCAGGGAGCGCTCTGCCCGGGCTCCCGAGGGATCACCACGATTTTCTCGGCTTTGTGCCCCCAAATCGCTGCTCACCGGCTCCCGGCCGTCCATGGCCTCCATCCAGAGCCGCCGGTCCTCCTCCGAGAGCGCCTGCATGGTGATGACCCCGGGCCTGCGGGAGAAAGGGGACGCTGTCAGTGAGCACAGGACGGGCAGCAAGGCAGAGATGAATGTTTCATGAGAGGGAGAGGGAAGCAGGACAAGCTCCTTCCCAGGCAAGCCCCAGCACAGGAGGACAAAAGCCATGGACACCCCTGCGGGTCCTGGCCAGGGTCAGCAAGGAGCAGAAGGATCTCCAACAATCAGCACACCGTTCCAGTGGTTTTGTGTGAGAGCTGGGTGCCAAATTCCTCCTCTGGCCCCCAGCCAGCCAGCTCACCTGCACTGGGTAGAGCACAGCCATGCAATGGCAGGAGAAGGCAAGGAGGGTAAGCAAGGAAGGGAACCAAGCAAGCAGAGCCCCACACATCCCAGCCCGTGTCTTAGCAGCACCCCAAGCACCAGGCTCACAGAGGAGACCTTCTGCTGTGCAAAATGTTTCATCCCCGAGGTGTCTGGGCCCTCATGGCTGTGCCCTGTCCATACCCTGCTGTAGGACGCAGCAGTGGCAGTGACACGATGCTGGCCCGTGTCCCCCTCCAGGAGCAGGGCAGGAGCCCCAGGGTGCTGCTCCTGCCCCAGCACTGGCACACACACCGCAGCCCTGAGCCTCCAACAAACAGCCCTGGGACTGCTCATTTACTGTAATGAGAGGGGAAAGGACAGGCCAGGGTGCTGCACACACGGCACGGGAGCAGGGACAGCAGTGGCACTGCCCTTGCCCGAGGGCCAACGCCACCTCCGCGCTCCTCAGTGGATGCCGTGCCCGCTCCTGGACCCCCCTTTCCAGCAAGGAGTCAAAGCTCCATTGCCCGCTCTGTGACCAGCAGGGTGAGGGTGGATTTGACCAGACAGTGTGTTTGCACAGCCTCAGGTGTGGGGACACAGAGGGTGGGAGCTGTGACCCAGCCCAGGGCTGCCATCCCTGTGTGCCCTGCTTGGCTGTGAGCTCCCAGGGTTTCCATCCTGCAGCCTGGATCCCAACACGCTCAGCTGGCCAAGCCTGCTCCTCCCAGCCTGGTGCCTTTGGGCGGGTCTGCATCCCCCCCAGGGCTGCTCCCAGACAGACAGACCTGTCCGTGTGTCTGTCTGGGGCTGCTGCTCCCAGGCACAGCAGAGCAGGGGCTCTGGAAGGACACAGGATCACTGCTCCCGTGCTGCAGGGCACAGGGAAGGAGGGAAGGGAAGGAGATTAAACCTCAGGAGCTGCCAACCACCTGCAGTGTGCACTGAGCACGTAGGCTCTGCTCAGTACTCGACCCCCAAACCTGATAAAGGTGGGCAGAGGGGTGATTTCTAACTTGAACTCCCCAAGGGTGGTTCAGCCGGAAAACGTGAGCTGCACCAACGCTCTGCAGATGCCCTTTGGTCCTTGATAAGAGCCTGTAAGAAAATTAAACTTTAACAGGGGCTCTCAAGGGTGGGCTTGGCCCCTCTGCTGCTGCTCTGTGGCACGCACAGGGCAGGGAGCGAGGATTAACCCTTCTCCTAACTGCACTCCCCATCCAGCCAGCCCAGCTCTCAGCAGGCACACGGCAGCTCAGCCCTGTCCCACCAGGGGAAGCTGTGCCCAGGTCCAAAAACCAGACATAATGTGCTTGATCTCTGCTAATCCCACTGGTGAGTCAGTCAATACTCACCAGCTTAGTGGTTTGGAAGTTTACTCACTTAGGAGGGAAGAGGAAACCACTTAACCATCGCCTCATCTGAGAGGGAAAATGCTCCACATCCAGCAGCAAATATGCTCAAAACACTGCACAAAGCTCCTTGTTGTGCAGGTACAGTGACTCAAGAGCAGGCCCTGGTACCTGGGGAGCTGCAGTGGCCACTTCAGCCAGGGCTTAGGTCTGACTTTAAGCCAAGCTGCTGCTGAAGGCACAGACACCTCAGTCAGAAAGCCCTGGAAGGGCTCTAGCTCAGCTACAGACACACAGGAAAGGAAATACTGGCATTTCTGTCTCTTTAGCCAGAGAAATAGAGAAATTTAAGCCCTCCATTCATGGCATGCTGGGCACTGGACTCCAGCAGAGCACGGTGCCTGAGTGGCAGTGCTGGTATCTGGAGTGCCAGCTTCCCTCAGCACAGGGCAGAGAGGTGATAACAGCAAATGTTTGTTCTGCCTCTGAGCAGATAACAACTTGGGCTTCACTTCAAAGTCAAACTTCTTTAACAGCATGAGGGGAGGGGCTGTGAAACTGAATCAAACCCAATTTCCATTGCAAATAGCCCTGCATTTCCTCCCCCAGTGTTTATTTGCCAGGGCACCCATTGCATCACTTTCCTGAGCAAAACCATCTTCCTGGCTGTGATAAATTTAAAATGCACCCACACATTACGCCTCATCCATTATGGATGTGGCCGAGGCCCACGGGGTTCTGTGTGCTCCCAGCCAGGTCGGGTGTTTGGCACTGGATCAGCCTCCTGCCAGCACTGGAAACACAGCTCCATCCTGACCAGGAAACACAGCTGGAAACACAGCTCCATCCTAATCCTCACCAGGAAACACTGCTAGAAACACAGCTCCATCCTCACCAGGAAACACTGCTGGAAACACAGCTCCATCCTCATCCTCACCAGGAAACACTGCTAGAAACACAGCTCCATCCTCACCAGGAAACACTGCTGGAAACACAGCTCCATCCTCACCAAAACCAGGAAACACTGCTAGAAACACAGCTCCATCCTGACCAGGAAACACAGCTGGAAACACAGCTCCATCCTAATCCTCACCAGGAAACACAGCTGGAAACACTGCTGGAAACACAGCTCCATCCTAATCCTCACCAGGAAACACAGCTGGAAACACTGCTGGAAACACAGCTCCATCCTCATCCTCACCAGGAAACACAGCTGGAAACACAGCTCCATCCTAATCCTCACCAGGAAACACAGCTGGAAACACTGCTGGAAACACTGCTCCATCCTCACCAGCACCAGGAAACACTGATGGAAACACAGCTCCATCCTCATCCTCACCAGGAAACACTGCTGGAAACACAGCTCCATCCTCATCCTCACCAGGAAACACTGATGGAAACACAGCTCCATCCTCATCCTCACCAGGAAACACTGCTGGAAACACAGCTCCATCCTCACCAGGAAACACTGCTGGAAACACAGCTCCATCCTCACCAGGAAACACAGCTGGAAACACAGCTCCATCCTCACCAGCTCTGAGGAAACACACAGCTCCATCCTAACCAGGAAACTCTGCCTGACACAGCTCCATCCTCACTGAGCCTGCTCAGGACCAACCCCTCTCACAGCCATGGCAAAACCCTGCTCTGCCCTCCTTTCCCAAAAGAGCAGCAAAACTGATCTGTCCTTGTCCCCTCGCCCAACAAACGACCCCAAATACTGGGGGTCACTTATGCAGATAATTATTTATAAAATAACACACAGCAAATACAGATTTTGCTGTGGGCAGCTCCCACCTCCTCCCAGCACAGGATGTAGCTGTGCCCAGGTGGAGTCAGCCCACCCCAGCCAGCCCCAGCTGTGCCCCCAGGGCAGCAGGACACCCTCCTGGAACCTGAGCTCTTGTGGCAAACGCACCAAGGAGCTGCTGGTGCACTCCCAGGTGCTGCATCCCACATCTCCACCTGCACTCCACACTTCCCACCACAGCCCTCTGCCTTTTTCTGGGACACAGGGAGAGGAAGGGACATTTTGGGATCAGAAGAAATCCATTTATAAATGGGGTGAGCGTAGGAGGGTGAGACTAGAGCAGAACATGGCAAACACTTAATAAGAAAGAATATTTTCAATATGCTACAATCTAAAAATGGAAGATTTTTCCATATGAGACCACACAGGAAATTTGAATTTTCTCAATATCTCAGCTTTTGTGACAAATGGCCTGGCCTTAAGGCACTGTGACTAAGCACACTGAGAAAATGAGAAACTGCAATAGCTTTTCCTTCTTCCAGGAAAACAAACAAATAAGGAAAGCAATAGAAACAGATAAGAACTTCCAACTGCTGTAGCAGCTTATCACAGCGAGACAATCTAAACTGCTGATGAAAACACACAAGAGTGCATTAATAACAGGGGCTGAGTGCACTGAGATGTTCCCTGAGCAGAGCAGCCCTGACAGGAGCCCACGGCCACAGGCACCAGCAGCCAGGTGTGATCCCAAAATGCTGGAGAGCCAAAATGTGCCCCAAAATGCTGGGGAGCAAAGCTGGAATTAAGGGGGAGACTGACCTCAAAATGCTGGGGAGCAAAGCTGGAATTAAGGGGGAGACTGACCTCAAAATGCTGGGGAGCAAAGATGGAATTAAGGGGAAGATTGACCCCAAAAATACTGGGGAGCAAAGATGGAATTAAGGGGAAGATTGACCTCAAAAATACTGAGGAGTAAAGATGGAATTAAGGGGGAGATTGACCCCAAAATGGTGGAGAGCAAAGCTGGAATTAAGGGGGGAGACTGGCCCCAAAATGGTGGGGAGTAAAGATGGAATTAAGGGGGAGATTGACCCCAGAATGCTGGGGAGCAAAGCTGGAATTAAGGGGGGAGACTGGCCCCAAAATGGTGGGGAGTAAAGATGGAATTAAGGGGGAGATTGACCCCAGAATGCTGGGGAGCAAAGTTGGAATTAAGGGGGAGACTGACCCTGAGCTCAGAAAGTCGGGGTGCCACCAGTACAGCCACCAGCACGTCCCACAGGGGTCAGTGCCACCGTGGCTCCCGTGGCCACCAGGGGAAGGAGCCCCATCCCTCCCTGCGGCACCCCATCCCTGTGACAGCCCCCAGCTGTGTGTGAAAGGTGACAGCGGCAGGGGCACAGGGACAGCACAGCAGGGCTGGGCTCACCTGGCAGGGGAGCAGGGACAGCTCCTGCACTGCCAGAGCCCTGCACCCTCAGAGCAAGGCCAGCAGCCCTCCTGGGATCACCATCTGCTCAGGGCAGCGCCTGCAGGTGCCTGGCAGCCCTCCCAGCCCCAGGCCAACCACCCAGCCCCTGGGCCAATTCTGCTTTCAGCAGGAATTTCCCCATGGGAAGGGGGCTCAGGCGCTGGAACTGCCCAGGGAGGGTTGGATCCCCATCCCTGGCGTGTCCAAGGAAGGGCTGGAGGTGGCACTGGGGGCTCTGTGCTGGGCATCAGGGTGGGCATCAGGCACAGCTGGGACTCAGGGGTGTTGGGGGTCTTTTCCCACCTCAGAGGCTCTGGGATCGTGGCTCTGGAGTTGCACTGTGCACCCACGGGGCAATGGGGGTGCCTGCAGAGCTCACTGCTCTCCTGACACACCAAACCCTGCATCTGAAGGGCTCCTGCTCCCCTAAAAGCCAGCTGGCACTCAAAGCAGTTTGCTTCTGGCCCACACCAATGACCTACATTATCCTAAATGACACAGCCTTTGTCATCACTCAAATGAGATCCTCCTCCTCCTCCTCGGGGTAAGACACTGCCTGATATCCCTGCTCACCTTGTTTACAAACCTGATTTAATGTGCAGAGACTACAAACAAGTTCAGTTAATGAGAAAAGAGCATTAGCAGTAAAACACAGTGTCCATCACGCTGGGGGTGTGTTTCAGGCAGACCCAAAACACCATTTGGGGTTAATTTTGCTGTAACAACACAGTACAATACTCCTAACTTGCCACATTGAACATGAAAGCCATTTGTAAATGCCGAGGCCAGGCTGGATGGGGCTGGAGTGCAAGGTGTCCCTGCCCATGGCAGGGGGTGGGATGAGATGGGTTTTAAGGTCCAACAGAAACTATTCTGGGATGCTGAGACAAGGAAGCCATGCTGTAATAACAGACCAGGCTCCAGATTTTCAGCTTGGTTGTGCTGAATCATCTTTACAGGAGAAAAACACACTTTTTTTCCCACCTAGGAAGGAACAGCTCTTGGCTGGTGCTATTTAGGGAGTTCCTGCTGAGCTCCAGCCCTCAGCCTGTGCTGTCTGAGCTCCCGAAGTGCAGGGCTGACAAAAGTTTCTGCGTTTCAGTGTGTGAAGCAAGGCCGAGGCTGCCACCTCCAGGCTGCCTGGGAGCTGTGGGACAGCCAAGCCTGGAGCAGCCAGGGTGGATGGATGGAGGCGATCTCAGCACAGCCTGCAGTGACAGCAGGACCCAGATCTGCCCCAGGGACAGGGAGACAGGCTGGGCACAGCGCAGCAAAACTTGTTTCCTCTTCCTCTTAAGTTTATCCAATATTTTAGACATCTAATGACAAATTCTGATACCAAGAGAATGCAGAGCTGCCTGTATATCGGGGAAAAAACAGCTTTTTCCTTCAGGTGTGTCCTGCTCTCCTGCTCCCTCAGGCAAATCCCTGCAGCAGGAACGTGCATATGAAAGGAGAAATTCCCCAGGTTTTCCCTTCCTGTGCTACTCCACTGCCATGATTTACATGGAGCATGCAGATTTCTGGAGCAGCTCCTGATCCCATGCCTGGCAGGCTCCAGACATCAAGGGAAGCTTCAGCTGCCTCTGAACACTCTAAAGAAAATTATTGAGGCTCCACTCTCCTTCTCCCGCTTTTTAGTTTGGTTTTCACATTATAAAAAAATATCCTCAGGGCACAGCAAAAAAAAAAATGTCCTGTGTCAGCAGAAACACTGGAGCTTTGTGGAGAAAAGCACAGCTCCAGAGAGTGGGAGGCAGCCCCAGGTTATCTCCAGCCTCAGCCAGCACAGGCAGAGCTCCATCACCCAGCCCTCCCTGCCACGGGCTGGCACTGAAACGCTGCCCAGGGCTGGACAGGGGTCATTGCAGCACTATCCAACACCCAGATTTCAATGAACTTGGGTTTTTCTGAGACCTCCAGGAATTCCTGCAGATGGGAGGAGAGCTGGACAGGCACACAACTGGGAGAGCACACTGAGTGTCTGTGGAGCAGGGAACTCCCGCAGAGAGGAGACCCAGGCAGCGACTGATTCCTCTTGGAACAGCAACAGCAGCCTGGCTTCCCTGTTTGTGTGTGCAAGCCATGCATGATGCCAGCTGGTATGGTACAGCTCCCACTCCCGGTGCCAGAGATTGACCCCACACACACCTCTGGTCCAGCTGCTGTGTGGTAAGTCTGAAGTGTTTTCCTTCTTCAGGAAAAAGGAATGGAAGGAGGCACGAGCCAGAGTCCATTATCAGCATCCATGATGAACCAGTAACAGCCAGCCCAGCAGGAAAGCTGACACTGTTCCAGTGCTGGAAGAGGCAGCACATCCCTCCAGCACAGCCACAGAGCCTTCTCCAGGCTGGCAACCCTCACCTTGTGTGGCCAGAGGCTGCAGAAGTGCTAAAACACCCTCAAAGCCAGAGAGACTTGAGTCAGAGAGGCTTGTAAACCAAAGCACTGCCTCAATACACGGAGAGCACCTGGCTGGCAAAGGTGTGACTCCTTGGATTAATGCTTTCCACTCACTGAGTGTGACTGACAGAGAGGAACTGCAGAGGAAGTGCACAGGAACTGTCCCACAGCCAGGAGCAGGAGCACAGGAACAGCGGCACAAGGAGCAGCAGCACAAGGAGCCGGAACACAGCCCTTCCCTTCCCTCCCCAGGCCAGCACAGCCCCAGGAGGTTCCTGGCAGCACTCACCGATCCACAGCCTCCACATCAAAGCAGAACCTCTTCTCAATGGTGTCTGTTTTCCGCCGGGTGCAGGATTTCAGGGTGACAGCTTCATCTTCCCCCTGAGAAGAGACAAAATCTCAGCTGAGGCTGAGAGCAACCAGCAGCCACAGGCCTGTCCCCAGCTGTCAATGAGCAGGTTCAGACCTGGGGGATCTGGCAACAGCACCCTGCTAAAAACATCCATTTATATCTCTGACAGGAGGACTTGTCTGTTTACCCTTAGTCCAAAACCTTTCATGAGGAGCCTTCCCTTCAGGATGCCCACCATTCAATCTGTGCATAAAGCACCACACAGCCATTCTTCATGGGGCAGGTACTGCGGGACCATGGGCAAAATCAGCTTTATTTTCCATTGCTGAATACACTCCTGCTGGCAGTTTGCACTCCACGCTGCATTTTTGGCAGCACTGTGCACACGAGGACTCCTAACAGGAGCAAACACGTCCTAAAATGTTTATTGTATAACAAAGCAATGACAAAACCGTTCTCCCAGCCTGAGAGTGCCTCCCTGCATCCCAGCTGAACTGGATTTCCAGAGGGCTGAGCTCAGGATCTGTGAGCACTGCTGTCCTCTGCTGGAGGGAATCCTGCTCAGCCCCTGCCAGCACACACACTGCTCCTGCAACTGTGAAATTCCACTCATGACTTCAGAGAAAATGAATTCTGAAGGAGTTCCTGGAGACAGACGTTTTTCTGGGCTCCCTGTGCTGCTCCCGATGACACCTTGGCTGACCACCCTGTTCCCTGACATCACCATTTTTCCAGGAAACACATTTAGAATCACTTAGATTGGAAAAGACCTCAAAGATCACAGAGTGTGAAAGCTGCCCAGAACAGCCAAGCCCACCACTGATCCATGTCCTCACGTGCCACAACCACACATCCACTAAATCCCCCCAGGGAGGGTGACTCCCTGGTTCCTATCCATGAACTCCTCCCCAGAGCCACCACCATTCATCTCCTGGCACCCAAACCCTCCCTGGCACCCAGTCCTGCCCATCCCACAGAATCCCCAGCCCCAAGCCCCAGGGCTGCTCCATGCCCAGATGTGCATGGTGGTCACCACTGACAGACCCTGGAGCCCAGCACGGGCACCATTTCATGGCAGGGTGGTGCCAGCCACAGGTGAAGCACAGCCCTGGACAGGGCTCCAGCCTGGCCCTGCACAGCCCTGGGTGCTGGGAGAGCCCTGCAATGAGAAGGGAGCAGACAAAACACAGTACACAGGCACTGATGATTACAGGGCTGGGATATGTTAATGCTCAGCTATAATGAAGATGCTCCAAGGCAAGAGGAAATTAATTTTAGAAGCTTCCCTGCCCACAGCTGGCTCCCTGTGCCAGCAGGAAGCTGTGTGGGAGCCTGTCCAGCTGCCCCAGGCTCTCCCCAGCAAGGGGATTGTGCTTGCAAACTGTCCCAGCTGGGAACTCTGTGCAGGGGCCTATTGTTCCTGCTGTACAGAGCAGAAAAGCCAGGCCTGGATACACCCTGGGAGCTGGGACACAGCCCTGGGAGCACTGGGACACAGCCCTGGAGCACTGGGACACAGCCCTGGAGCACTGGGACACAGCCCTGGGAGCACTGGGACACAGCCCTGGAGCACTGGGACACAGCTCTGGAGCTGGGACACGGCCCTGAAGCACTGGGACACAGCCCTGGGAGCTGGGACACGGCCCTGGGAGCACTGGGACACGGCCCTGGGAGCTGGGACACGGCCCTGGGAGCTGGGACACGGCCCTGGGAGCACTGGGACACGGCCCTGGAGCACTGGGACACGGCCCTGGGAGCACTGGGACACGGCCCTGGGAGCACTGGGACACAGCCCTGGGAGCACTGGGACACGGCTCTGGGAGCACTGGGACACGGCCCTGGGAGCACTGGGACACGGCCCTGAAGCACTGGGACACGGCTCTGGGAACACTGGGACACGGCCCTGGGAGCACTGGGACACGGCCCTGGGAGCACTGGGACACGGCCCTGGGAGCACTGGGACACAGCCCTGGGAGCACTGGGACACGGCCCTGGAGCACTGGGACACGGCCCTGGAGCACTGGGACACGGCCCTGGGAGCTGGGACACAGCCCTGGGAGCACTGGGACACGGCCCTGGAGCACTGGGACACGGCCCTGGGAGCACTGGGACACGGCCCTGGAGCACTGGGACACAGCCCTGGAGCACTGGGACACGGCCCTGGGAGCACTGGGACACGGCCCTGGGAGCACTGGGACACGGCCCTGGAGCACTGGGACACGGCCCTGGAGCACTGGGACACGGCCCTGGGAGCTGGGACACGGCTCTGGGAGCACTGGGACACAGCCCTGGGAGCTGGGACACGGCCCTGGAGCACTGGGACACGGCCCTGCTCCCAGCCAGCACCCACTCACCCCTTTCCCTCCTGTCCCAGCCCTCACTCACCCCTTTCCCTCCTGATTTCTGGTCAAAGGGCACCATGGTGATGCGCTTGGATTCCCTCTGGTAGGTGCAGTAATGCTTCACCCAGGAAGTCCCAAAGTGACCTGCAGAGCAAGCACAGGGGGTTCATGGCCAGAGCAGTTCCAGTGCCCCCCATCAGACCCTGCTGTGTCTGACCATCATTTCACGTGCCAGGCTCCATGCCCAGAGCAGTTCCAGTGCCCCCCATCAGACCCTGCTGTGTCTGACCATCATTTCACGTGCCATTTCCTGTACCTAACAGAATGCTGGCAGGATTCTCCCTGGCTGCCCCATCCCCACTCCCAGGGCTCTGTGCCTGCTGGATCAGCCTTTGTGCCCCTGTCCCCCTGCCCAGGCTGCAGCCCCAGGCCCCCAGCCCTGCACCTACGCTTCTCCTGCACGTAGAGATAGCCCTCCATGGTGTAGGGGCTGATGTTTTTGTGCTCGTGGGGATTCTCCTTCATCTTCTTCATCAAAGCTTCAACCTCTGACCTTGTTCCTTCAAAGCGGTTTCTTGTCTGCAAATTAAAGCAGGAATGTGTTCTCCAGTGCAGGGACCCGAGCCTGGCTCTGCAGGACATGGGGTGGGGCCCTACAGCCCTGTGGGGAGCCCAGGGGCAGCCACAGGGCAGGTTTGCTTCCTGGGCCTGGATTCAAGCTAAAGCAAAAATATTACAACAATTGGCAAGGCCTGCCAGAACTATAAGGGGGCTTACAAAAAGAGGGAGAGTGATTTTTGACATGGGTCAATATAGGACAAGGGAAATGGATTTAAACTCAGAGAGATTTGGATTGGATATTAAGAAAAAATTCTTCTCTGGCAGGGTGTCAGGCCCTGGCACAGGTGCCCAGAGCAGCTGTGGCTGCCCCTGGATCCCTGGCAGTGCCCAAGGCCAGGCTGGACAGGGCTGGGAGCACCTGGGACAGGGGAAGGTGTCCCTGCCATGGCAGAGGTGGAATGAGATTGGCTTTAAGGTCCCTTCCAACTCAAACCAGTCTGGGATTCTGTGATTAAAATACACCAGAAGGCGAGGTGGCTCTGGAGACACTGACAGCAACGGGCACAGGAACAGCCTGGGCACAGGGACACCCCGGGCACACTCACATTCTGGATGCTGATTGTCAGCTCTGTCTTGAAGTCACTGAAGTCCTTTGCAAGCTCGTAGCCGTGGTGGTAGAACGTGAAGAGCCCCTGCAGAAAGGCCAGCAGCTGCATTGGGGAAAAGCAAATGGAGATGGTCAGTGCAGACCCAGGGCTGCACCCAGAGGCACCAGTGCTGAGGGGAGGGGGCCCTGCAGCCCCCTGGGATGGAGGGGCTCCCTGGTGGGCTCTCTGTGAGAGGGGCTGTGGGGTGAGGGCTCCCCATGACCCCGTTTCACCACAGCACCCCAGCTTTGTGCAGGCTGAGCCGGACTCAGAGCTCACTTACAGGTTCCACAAACTCAAACATCTTCCTCTCCTGGACCTCCTGCACCTTGAAGACATATTCCAGGGACACCTCGTAGAAGTGCTGCCGAACCAGGTCCACCTGGCTGTCTGCCTGCAGGGGGTGCAGAGGAAACAGAGCTCAGGAACCACCAGAGCGCAGCTGGCCCCGATGGGAGCACCCCCAGGCACAGCAAACCCAGCTCCAGCCCCAGGCCCAGCCGGACAGATGGCACAGGAACACACATAAACCTCATCCACACGAGCAAGCTCTGCCTTCAGCTGAGGAAAACGGGTGTGTGACTCACGTTCTCACCTCCCCAACAGCTGGGTACAAAACATGCAGTAGAGGTGAGAAAAATGGAAATCGCTGTGAACTTGGTAAGAAAAGGCAACTCTCCCTTTTCTGGAAATCTGTGAACTTGGTAAGAAAAGGCAACTCTCCCTTTTCTGGAAATCTGTGAACTTGGTAAGAAAAGACAACTCTCCCTTTTCTGGATGTAGCAGCCCCCTCGCCAGGGATGCCACATCCACAGTTCACAGCTCCACACCGAATCCTCTTTCTAAGGTAACCCCTCCCTGGGGGGGTCTGAGCCACACAAACCACGGACACTTCCCGGGCACGGGGGAACAGGAGCGGCCCCTGAGCTGGAGCTGCTTCCAGCGGGCTCCTCCTGCCTGCCCGGCAGCGGCCCCAGCCAGGCCCGGCTGGGAGGTGCCACCAGATGGCACCAGCAGGCAGCGCTGCTCCAGCGCACCGGCACGGGCCGGGCATCCCGCACTGACCCCGCACACAGCCCCAGCTGAATCCCGAACAGAATCCCAAAGAGATCCCAAACTAAATCCCAAACTGAATCCTGCGCTGATCCCCTACATCCCGAGCTGAATCCCGCACTGATCCTGCACACATCCTGTGCTGAATCCCAAACTGAATCCCAAACAGAATCCCAAACAGAATCCCAAACACATCTTGAACTGAATACCAAACCGAATCCCAAACTGAATCCCGCACTGCATCCCACACACATCCCAACAGAATCCCAAACTGAATCTTCAGTTACATCCCGCACACATCCTGAACAGAATCCTGCACAGAATCCCATGCTGCACCCCGCACACATCCCCAACTGAATCCCCAACTGAATCCCCACCTGCACCCCATCTGGCACCTCCAGGCAGCCCCCAGGGCCTTGCCCTGTCCATGGCACAGATCACACCTCGGACAGCCACAAGAAGGATCTCAGGATCATTCCCTCCCCAGCCAGAATTCCTTCTGCTCCCTGCCCCATATCAGCACCTCAAACACAAACTAAACCAGGGCTCATTTAAAGGCCACCATTCCCTGGGACACGTGGGTGTTATTTACAAACCCCAGGGACAAGGCTGGCTTGCAGGCACACCTGCCCAGACGCTGAGCCCTCCTCAGCCCTGGAGGATGATCACCTGTGCCCCAGGTATTTCTGCTCTGCTGGGCACGGTCCCACCACCCGGGTACAGGAGCCCACCAGTGCCCCCAGTAAGGGACAGGCAGCACACCAGCACCATGCCCAAGAGCAAGGACACACAGCCTGCAGGACCAACCCACCCTGGGCCAGCACAAGGAATTCAGACTTGAAAGGAGTGGTTGAAAACTCAGCATACTCATCCAGTGGGAGCACTTGTCACCACAGCTAACCACGTCCTGAACCACTGAGGGCTCCTAAAGGGTTTAAGGCACTAAGCCTGCTCCCTCCTCCCCTGGAGCACAGAGCAGAGCAGCCACTTGCAGAGAAGGAGACCAGACATCCATGATTTGTGCTGGCACTGGGAAGCCTGCAGCAGAACCAGTTCCTTTCTGTTACACTCTTTAATTATAAACCCTCTCTCCTTTTTGATTGCTATCCATTTTGGGATCTCTCTGATTTACTCACCAAGAAAACTCCATATCCTTTCATTACAGGAAAAGGGGAAAACCCAGCACCCGCAGCCAGAATGAGGGAAAAAATGAGTTTACAGCCAGGAGAACCATTGTTATAAACAGTGTGAGGCATTCAAAAAGCTCTCCACAGTCACAGCCAGACACGGAAACTCAGAGGTCACCCTCACCTCCTGAAGCTGGGATTCCTTCTTCTTGGAAGACAAGTTCAAGTGCTTTTCTAGGACACCACAGTATTTCTCAGTCTCCTTGTCGTATTTCTTTTTGGCATCCTACAGAACAGGACAGGAAGTGTGACACTGAACACGAGGGTCCCAGAGCAGCTGTGACAGCATCCCTGTGGCACTGGGCAGGGTGACAGTGCCAGGTGGGAGCTACCATGAGACAGGACCTGGGCGCAGCAGCTGGAAGCAGGTGAGGCTGCTGTTATCTGCCAGCATCAGCAGCTACAGGAAAGCAGCTTGTGCTGCCAAACCCCAAGGCTTGAGGGAACCCCTCCTCTGCTCCTGGGGCCCAGGGCTTGGTAAAACATCCAGATCCAGCTCCAAAAGCAACAGAGCGAGGAAAGTGCTTTCTAAGCAGAACCTGGTCACAATTCCACATCCCACCCTGCCACCCCTTCAAGAGCTTCTCCTCTGTGTGACGTGGGACAATGACACAGACCTCAGCTCTTTGTGGCAGCAGCATTAAGGACACCAACTTCACTTCCCTTTGCAGCCCTGTCCCAGCCTGGCCGGCCCAATGCCAGAGCCCAATCCATGGCAGCAGGTGTGTGCTGCAGGATCCCTCTCTGTGTTTATAAGCAGGTGTGTGCTGCAGGACTCCTCTGTGTTTGCAGGTAAGCAGGTGTGCTCTGCAGGACCCTCTCTGGGTTTCTGTGCTTGTTTCCAGCTGCACTGGGCACTGCTGCCATGCAAACGCAGCCCTGGGAGCTGGCACGAGCTGCTTGCAGGCAGCAGCAGGTTGTTATAACAACAGGGGAGCCAGAGACAGTGGTTTTCATTTCAGAACAAAGGCAGGAAAGGAAGGGGGGGCCAGGCTGTCTCATGGCTGCCCTCAGCCACAGCGGCGCTTCCCCGTCCTGCCAGCAGCGCCCGAGTTCCCCTGCAGCCCCCAGCCATCCTCGGGCTGGGGAGGGCAGCCTGGGGGACTCAGGAGAGTGTGAGCCCCTCCAAACAATCCTAACTCTCCTTGGAGTAAGGAAACAAGTTCACTTTGGCTGGGCAGTTATTTGGCTGTGGGTGAACTCGGAACACCGAGGCACTTCCCAGGAGCCGGATCACCCCGAGCCCATCCCAGAGCAGCCACTGCCCCCTGCCATGCCCGAGCCCACCCTGCAGAGTGCCAGCTCCTGCCCAGCTCGGGGGCAGTGCCTGGGTTACCTTGGCAGCCCCGATCTGCTCCTTGCGGAACTTCTCCAGCGGCGTGATCAGCACCTCGCTGGCGTTCTCGATCTGGGGGCAAAGACAGGCACAGCTCAGCTCTGCTGCTCCTCAGCCTGCTCCATGGGAACCCTCCCACAGCCCAGACACCCCCAGGCTTCACCCCTCTGTCTCTGCACACCTGTGACCCCCCAGCACCAGTGCAGGCTGCTCTCCCACAGCAAGACCCCATTCCTGATGCTTTCCAAGTGTTTCCCCACCAAACCACCCTCTCCTCTCTCTGCCCTCCCCTGCAGCTCCACACCAGTGAGGGAGGGAGCACAGGGGCAGCAGTCACTGTCACCACGGTGCCCCAGGTGCCACCAGCCCTGCCCCCAGGCCAGCTGGGCCGTACCATGCGCATCCGCTCGTCCTCCAGGTTCCGCAGCACCGTGGCAAACTCCTGCAGGGACTTGGCTGGAAGGGACACAGGCAGCATTTCACACTCAGTTCTCAAAGAAAGGAACTGCACAGAGGGGTTTTTTCTGTCTGTGTTTTGGGTGGGGAGGTTGGGGTTTTTATTATCCTTGCTCTCTCCCTAGAAAGGCTCCTGCTGCCCACAGCAGGCAGCAGAGCATCCCCAGGACCAGGCTTCCTCCTCCAGCAACATCCCAGCTCAAACCTGCCCTGCCCAAGTCACCAACCAGCCCCACAGCACAGCACTGGCCTCCAGCCATGCCCAGCACACCAGGGGCAGTTCCCCAGCACCAGGGAGACCTGGATGAGGAGCTATTTCTGCTGAGAGACTGGGCACCAATAAACAAGCAAAGTTAAATCAGGGCTAAAGCTTCTTTGCTCTCCTGGCTCCAGACGATGTGCACAATAAGCTCTGAAAGTTCAGCTGGGGCAGGAGCAGAGAGGGAAGAGGCTGAAGCCACTGCCCTGTGCCAGGAGAAGCTCAGGCAGAGCCAGGCTTAGCTCAGGGAGCCTTGCCAGGCTCAGCACTGCTGATTCCCCTCCGTGTGACTCTGCTGCTCCTCTGCCTCAGAGCGCAGCCCCTCGCAGTGTACCCAGCCACAACCACCTCCAGATGCTCCTCTCCAGTGCAAAGCATCCAGCTAACTGAGGTGGTTTCAGACACAGGCAATCTTCTCCCTTTCCCATCTGGCAGGGACAGATTTAGGCCAAGAGGCAACAGGTGATTCCCTGGGGGAGGCTGTGCTGTGCTGACCCAGGAGGAATAAGGCATTTCCAGAGGGCACCCAGACAATTCCCTGGGTGTCCTGGTGTGATTCCCTCGGTGCCCTGCTCGGGGCTGGCTCCAGGAGCAGCAGGACTCACCTATGCAGAGCAGCAGGACTCACCTATGCAGATCTCATCGTCGGTCTCAGCGTCACCAATGCAGCGGAACTTGAACTCGTTGAGGGAATCGGCGAACTTGCGCTTGGCGGCCGACAGGTCTGTGGGAGCAGGGACACAGGGACATCACCAACGGGAAAGGGCCCCAGCAGCAGGACGCAGGCATGATCCCACCCAGGAAACACCCACAGAGGGACCCCCGCCCCAGGGAAGCCCCAGAGCGCTGCCCTGCTGCACCCACCCCAGGGATGCTCTGTGGGGTCCCTTCAGCACCCCCAAATACCCCACAGGAGATGGCACTTCAGAATAGCCAAAGAGCCACGCCAGAGCTCTGACCCAGAGCCACGGGGCAGCAGTGACACACAGTGACACTGCCCCCAGGAGATGGCCCCTCTGCCATGCCCCTGGGTGAGGGAAGGCAGCAGCACAGAGCTTTGGTTCTGCAGATTCCCTCTGAGATCTGCATCCTATTAAGTTCTTACTCACAGTGACCTGAGTGCATCCAGGATTGGCTTTTCAGGCCAGCCCTGTTAACCTGGCACACACAGACAGTCCTGGGGCCACCGAAGGCACCGTGTGGCTGCAGCCCTGCCCGTGTGAGGAGCTCACAGTGCTCCCTCCCCAGTGCATTTCTTCACCCAAAGCCCAAAACTCCAGGGTTTTTCCCTTTCCCAGCACCGGTGGAAAATGCGTGTGCACGCAAAGGCCATTTCCTCCTGTCAGGCACCGCAGCCAAGAGATAACCACAGCAGAGTCCCAGTGTTTTGCTTTCCCCATGGGATAAGGGAGCTGGCAACTTTCTCCAAGCATCAAAGCTGTTTTCCCAGTATTGCTGCTGACAGCCTGGGGTTAATCCTGCCCGGTTCAGTCCCAGCTGCCTCCACACGAGTGCTTCCTAAGGCAGCAGGAAATCACCCAGCCAAGGCAGGCAGGGACAGGGAAATCCTGGGAGCCCTCCCAGTGGAAAAGTACAGAGGGGGCTTCAGGAGGAGAGGGCTCACACACAGCAGGATTTGCACTTTGCTCCCTGGAGGATGGAACGAGCACGGATTTACAGCTTTTACACCCTTCCTGTGCCTGGAGCTGCCAGCAGCCTCCACTGGCACCCACAGAAACAGGACACGTGTTTTGGGGAAACTTCCCCAGTGCTGCTGGGCAGGATTGAGAAGAGGGACTCGGGAGGGTGGGAGGGTTTGTTCCAGCTCAGCACAGGGATGAGCAAAGGGCACTGGGACAGCCCTGGGCAGGACCCCAGAGCTGGAGAGGTTCCTGCAGCACAGGGAAGGATGGACACCTAGGGGATGGATGGACACCTGAGCTCCCCAGCCTGGGACAGGGTCACTTCTCCAGGGCCACCTCTCCAGGTCACTCTCTCCAGGGCCACCTTCTCCAGGGCCACCCTCTGCTCCACCTGAGAGTGAGGAGCAGGTCAGGGCTCTGGGACCAGGCAGGAGCCAGAGCAAAGCCAGGAAGCCCCTGGAGCCAGCAGCACTGACAGCAATGGTGCTTATAAATAGGCAGGGGAGAGGGAGATAACTCCTGCAGTGACAGTGATAAAGGATAAAATTAGCAGCAGGATCAGCCGGAAAAGGAGAGAGGGGCACCCATGCCCACCCTGTGGGGCCCCATTGTCCTCCCCAGGCCACTGTCAGGCCACCCATGCCCAGCACCCCCTCTTCAGGAACCCCTCAGCTGCATTTTGGGACAGCAGCCCTGCAGGGGAAGCAGGAAGGCACAGGGAGAGCAGGGCACCCCCCTGACAATCCTCTGGGTTTTTCTTCTCCAGGGGTGTGAACAAGCAACCCCAAAATCCTGCAAAGGCTCAACAGAATCTGCTGCTTCCTCTGAGGCACGAGCAGAACACCCAGACCCTGCACATGAGTCACACCAGGAGCTGGCAAGTGTTCCTCCCAAGTTCTCTGCTGGCTTGATCAGCCAACCACAGCATCAGGGAAAGCCACCACAAAAAGCCTGAAAAACCCTTCTGCCTGAGCAACAACCAGCTCAGGCTGCAGGTCTCATCATCATCATCATCATCACCATCCTCATCATCATCACCTCCATGGCTCCCCTTTCCCACCTGGGCTGGTGAGGATGGGACAATCCCCTCAGGAAAGTGCCCTTGACAGAAAACTGGCACACACAGGCCCACCGGCACAGCTCCAGCAAGCAGCGATCTGAAATAAATGCCCTGTTAAAAGTGATGCATCCTCCCCTTCCACTGCACCCTGCACAGCCACCCCAGGGACAGCAGGAGCAGGGGCAGCTCCCAGCAGGTCCGAGGGCAGCAGCCTGTCCTGGAAGCAGGCTCAGATACCCAGATAACCCCTGTGGCTGTCCCTGCTCCCCCACACCCAGCCCAGGCTCACCCCGCTGTCCCCCTCCCTCTGTAGGGAATTGCTGGCTCAATTCCATCCCAGGCACACACTGCAGCTCCAGGGCTCCCCAAACCTGCCTGAAGGGAATTCTCCAGCCCAGGAATCCTGCAAGGATCAGCAGCAAGGGAGCCCCTCGTGCTGCTGTGTCCCTCCTCCTCCTCCTCAGCTCAGACTTTCTGGGAAGTGGCTGCTGTTACCACAGAAGTTAAACTGAAGTGGTTGCTTCTGACATGAAAAGCCTCTTCCGAAGGAATTTGGAACTACCGAAAAAGGCCATTTGTAGAAGGATTGTGTCCTGGTTTCCCACCCCTCCTCCACGAGGGCAGCACCCTGGGGTGACCCCACTGAGCCAGGTCTGCAGCCAGCACCCCAAAACAACAGGCGGGAACCAGAACCCGTCAAACTGAGATGCCAGGGAGACAAACGTCCCCCCTGCCTGGTGCCGTGTTGGGAAGCTCAGGGCAGCCAGGGCACAGCGACCCTGGGGATGGGGGCTCTGCAGCCACTCCGTGCACAAGCTGCAAACAGCACAAAGCTCTGCCTCGGGACAGGGCCAGCAGCAGCAGCCGGAGGGGTGGCTCAGGTTAGAGACAAGCCTGCTGCTGACTCTGGCCATGAAGGGTTAACGTGCCACAGAGGGGGAGCAGAGGATGCTGCTGGGGCTCTGGGCTCACACGGAGCAGGATTTCTACACTTCCTGCAAAGAAAACTGCTTAATAGCCTGTATTTACTGCTCAAGTGGACAACAGGAACTGAGACTCCTGCCCCTTCCTTCCCCCACAGCAAAGAGCAGCAGAACAGCAGCTCGGGCTGTCTGTCTGTCCCTGCCAGCCCCAGGGAGGGACAGGAGGACAACGCCAGCCCCAGCAGCAGCCCCTGTGCCCCAAAAGCAGGGCACAGCTGGGGGATGAGCGCTCCCAGCCCTCCTTTGGCTGCAGGGAGCAGACGCAGCACCTCCCAGCTCCCAGGGGCCAGCCAGGATGGGTAATCCAGGGAGCAGCCGCTGTAATCAGCACCGCATTACAGCCTGCCTCTGAGGCTGCTCACCAAGCAGCAGCATGGTGTCTGTGCCCACAGCCAGCCAGGGCTCAGCACAGCACCCCTCTGGGCTCACACTGCCCTGCTGCAGCCCAGGGATGCCCAGGGAGGGGCTCTGGGCAGGGTCAGAGCTGGGAAAGGCCAGCTGGGCCTGGCCAGGGATGCTCCGAGCCCTCAGCACGGGACACCCACCCAGCCTGGGCCTGTGGTTCCTGCAGGAATCCAGCAACGAGAGCCTGGTGCAACGAGAGCCTGGTGCAACGAGAGCCTGGTGCCTGAGAGCAGCGTTTGCAGCCGCCAGTTTGCAGTTCCACCCAGCCAGCCCCAGCCCCAGCGTCAGGGCAGCATCACAAACGCTTCACTTGCTGCAGAAGGCTTAAATTCCCTCTCTGAGCTTCCCAGCAAGGTCAGCAAAGCCCTGCTGCCGTGAGACAGCAGCCTGGCCCAGCCCCAGAGTCACCTCCGTGCAGAATTAGCACGGATCTGTTCATTTAACAACTTCTCCACCAGGTGGTTGGAGTTAATCAGTGATTGAGGATGGGCTGGCAGCTGCTGGCAGGTACCCCCTCTGAATCATCATGAGCAAACACATAAAACCAGATGGGCAGAGCCCACCCCACCTCCAGCACAGCTTCTGCCATCGTGTTCTGCACAACAGCCCGTGGAGAGGCACAGCTTGGCACAGATGGAGGTTAGGGGGTGCAAGGGACAGCAGGGTGACCCCAAGGAGCAGGGCCGTGGGCACAGCCACCAAAGGCAGAGCCCCCAAGGCAGGGAGAGCATCACTCAGTGGTCCCACAGCCCCCAGAGCCCATTTTGGTGCCTTTTCCCACACACACACAGCCTCACACCCAGGAAGGCCAAGCCCCAGCACTTCATTTTCACCGAGTTCACCAGCACACATTCCTACACAGCACACCTTGAGCAGACAACCCAAAATCGCTCAGATGGGCTAAAACCTGAAGCTCTGTCCAGGATGCCCCAGGAGGGCAGGTCCAGGAGATGCCCAGCTCTGGCCCTGCAGCCAGGGGAGTGCTGGGCACTGCTGCCATTCCCCTGGGCACTGCTGCCAGCCCAGGGCAGCGCTGGGCACTGCTGCCATTCCCCTGGGCACTGCTGCCAGCCCAGGGCAGCGCTGGGCACTGCTGCCTGCCCAGGGCACTGCTGCCATTCCCCTGGGCACTGCTGCCAGCCCAGCATCCCCGTCTGCCCGGAGCCCAGGCTCAGCTGGCCCCGTATGGCAGCGCTGGGCACGGGGACACAGAGCCCTGTGTGTGCTGAATGGCACCATTGACAGGCCCCAGCAGCACACCAGAGCTCAGCAACACGCTCAGGACACGGGGAGATTCACAGGGTTTTAACAGATAAAGGTTCTGCACGTCCTGAAAAACAAAGCTGTGCCTTGGGAGGGCTGCCTGGCTGCACAGCTAAAATTATCCCTGCTGCCCGCCAGCCCAGCACCCCGGGCACCCCCAAATCAATAATGCTCACACTTGTTTGGCAGCTTTGCCAGGCCAGGACGCTTCTGCAAAGCTTCCCAAGATTCCTGATGGAAGGCACTGGAGACCCAAGGGAAATGAAGGCAGAAGGAGCAGCAGGGCCAGCCCAGTGTGCCCAGTGTGCCATCCTGCAGCAGGGCCAGCACAGTCTGCCCCTGCTCTGCATTAATCAGGTTATTTTAACGA